GCAGGAACTGTAAGGAATGACTGCAATTTTTGTTGAATTTCATTTATTAATTTTAATGAAGGCTTACTGAAAATGCAATTCTTTGTCCAGTTCCCACTTAATCACCTGATGCCTTTGATTAAGATGCAGTGCTGAGATCAGACCTAGAATGACTTTTACTTTGAGGAGTTAAAAATCTCAACACCGTGTTCTACAGCTTCCTTAATTCATGTGTCTTTATATTGTATGTTTGATATTCCAAAAATAGAGGTTTTTTTAGCAGTTGCAGTAATTAGCAGGTAGAGTAGCACACTCAGCAAAAAAGAAGTGAAAGGCTGCATAAACATTTATGAAGTATTGAAGGATTTTTGTCTTCTCTAACAAGTCTTACTTTTAATGAAGATCAAATGATATTGTAATTTTTCTATGCATAAAATATTCTAACGTATAAAGTAATTCTCTGTATTACAGTGACATTCATTAAGTGCTTCAGATCAGCTTGATACATATTAGTTTGGACAAAATGTATTCACAGGCCTTTGATTTAGAAAATAAATTTAATACATAGCCCACAATAAATCAATGAATCAGCATGCGTGGGATAAGGAGCACAAAGACAAATAATTCTGCTCTATGCTTTAGACAGGTTTCTGGCCTTGTATATTTGAGTGTGAATCAAGAGAAGCTCATTTACTTACTTATTTTGCAGGAACTTCACTTTTTTTTAAGGGTTTTAGATGGAATGGCATTCAAACTACTATTTCAGAGTCTCTAACTGGTTACTACTCTTGCTCTGCTCCCTTTCATCTTACCCTGGACAGAACTTTTATGTATGTGTTGTATATTATACAAAATTATTAAATTACATTGATGTATAATTCAAATTTATCAAGGTCATTCATAATCATCATGTAGAAATATGAGCTAAAGTCCTGTTTTGGGATTGACACGCTCTTATATCAGATCCGGGTTTAGTCCAATAAATCTAAATGTAATAAAACAACCAGGGCAGAATACCTTTTGCATTAATAAGCTGCTTTTAAAGCTGGAAATTTGAGAGCTTGAATGTGCATTTAACCTCCTAAATTTTGTATGAGTCAGAAGTGTTTTACTGTAATGTAAATCTTTTGCGTGAAGTAATTATCTTCCTACTCTGTGATGGGACAATTTATATTAACTTGAAGTCTGAGAGATGTGAATATAATGTATGTCCACCTACCTACCGAGTCTAGTCTATATTTTAGTTTTGGGTTAGAACACAGACATGTGAACAGAAAACGAGGCATTCGTTAATAGTTCTGTAATACTGCAGTTCTTTGACCTCTGGTTCTCGTGCTGGTGAATGCTGCTATCATCTGCTATTAACAGACTGAAATGAAAAGGAAGTTAAAGACTGAAATAGGTAAAAAGGAAGTAATCTTTCTACCCAGATCTCCATAATGCACTATGAAGTCCAGCAATTTAAAGGCTACAGGTTAGCTTTGATATGAAAAAAACAAGAGAAAGAATTATCAGGGGTGGAGTTCAGCTTGTGTGTTATGCCGTCCACTTTGGCTGCATGAGTCTCCTCTCTTTGTTCTTTCCTTACCTTAAGCTTATCCATGTGCCATATACATATACAACATACACTGGTACATGTGTGTGTATATATGTTTATATATATGTTACATGTGCTGGTACATGGTGTATATATTGTCACACGTCATACAGATAAATTTATCTTTTCAGGGATTTACAGAATCATGAAAACAGGAGGAAACATATAAAATGTTTGTGGTACTACAACATTTAATTTTGGTCCATTTATTTTCACCAGCTTTTCCATGTGCATTGATTAAATCAAAAAGAAATAGCCCACTTCCACTTCAGGAAGGTCTTACAAGAGTTTAACAGTGAAACAGCAGTCATTCACCAGCAGCTGTCTGTCTGCATGCTGAAGATGTCATCAATAATGCACAAGATAACATCTCCAAGTTGAAAGAGCAGTAGGATTGGCATCAATTTTTGCTTAATAGAGCATCATACGCAAACTAGACAGTGATACCTGATGTCCTGACGGCATCCATTACACTAAAATGTGTACATATCTTATTTGGAAGTGTTACATAAACTTGAAAACAATTACACTTTTTTCTTTCTAAGGTCTGATTTCTGTTGCATTGAGATTAATGTTATTTTTCTCCTATCTCAGAGGGTGACGAGACAGGAGTGATGGATAGTCTGCTTGAGGCCTTGCAGTCAGGAGCAGCATTCAGAGATCGCAGGAAACGAGCACCAAGAGGACAAGGTAAGGTGCTTTCTAAAAACTTTTAAACGGAGTGGGCAGAAGTTTTGCAAAGATTTACCAACAGTTTTCACTGAAAAATGGCTGAGCAACTGTGAAAACTCAGCAGCCTCCTTGTGATCATGGATTTGTGATTTGATAGCTCTATCTTCAGCTAACTCTACGCTCTAATATATGACAAGGGTTCCCATAGTGTTTGAAATGGTATTTAAAACGTTGCTGCCCAAGTGTGTATGTCTTAATCTTTAAAACTTTAAGTAAATTAATTTATTCTAGGTGGTGCTGTGAAAAGGAATAGCTTCTTACACCAATAAGAGTGTGAGCATATAGCTGATAGTCTTTTTCAAGCAATGGTCTTAAATATGTTCTGGTTTGGATGGGAGTTATAATGTGTGTACTCATAAAAGCTGAATTATGATAAATTAGCTTTGCTTTCTTGAGGGAGACAGTAGTATAATACAAGACATAGTCATGTTTACTGATTTAGTTGGAGCAATTATTGGTTCTTAAAGTGTTGGTTTTGAGAAAATTTGAAGGAAGACAAAGCAAGTGTAGTGCTTCCTCTTTTCATATCTCCCCTGCTTATGATATGCCTGTTGCATATGGTTTGTGAACTGCGTTTACTCTGCATTTACTTCTCATCAAGGCTTAGGATAGTATACTGTATTTTTCAATTTTTCATTTAAAATGTGCTTATCGGTAAAAAATAGTCTTACAATTTTAAAGTTGAAAATTATAGTTATTTGGCATAAAATTAAAAGCTTATGATGGATACGTGCTGCTAAGTGTTTGGCAAAATGTAGTCATTTTATTTTGTAAACAAGCCATGTTTATATACCAAATCCTCAGTGAACTAGGGATAGATTCATGTTGGCTGATTATTTTTATTAGAGGAACAGAAGAGGAAAGGTTAATTCCACCACCCTCTTTCATCTACCTAGGGAACATGGGATATAACTCTTCTTAAGTTGCCATATGCCTGATCTTATGGAAAAAATAAAAATAAGTTACCTAATTTGTTCATACAAAGGTATGAATTATGCTGCAGTTCCAGTATCATTCTTAATTCAGGGCTTGTTTCTGCTCTCAGATCAGAACTGAAAGAACTCCTCGATCAAAGAGTGGTTTTTCCCCTATCTTGAGGAATATCAGTTTGAGAGATGGTCTCTCTGTGCTGTGGCTTGAGGAGAGATTTGTCACCCAGTGGTGACAAAGAAAAGCTTCCCAGGGACCAGAGGAGACACTGTAAAATCTGCTGCAGCTGAGAGAGCCAACGAGATGACCGAATGCAGGTCCCACACCAGCAACTCCCCTACAATGAGAGGGGGTAGTGCTCATTAAAAATCTCTTTTAATTCTCTTCTGTTTCGTATAGTCACTTTGACTGCTCTGTGTTCACTGCTAGCTCTAGATGGGGAGGTTGGACCTGGGAGGGATCATTTCATTTGGATAACAGAGCTCCAGTTACTACAGGACTACAACTACAACTGAAGGGTGTTGTTTCTCCCCTTCCATTAGCCTTTTTTACAGAGGTCACTGAGGTGCCCTGTAGCATACGTTTGTGCTTACAGGGACATATCCTTAAAATATTTAAAGAGTGGGAGACTGGCTGACTGGTTAAGAGGTGGAGATAGGAAGGGAATAGTGCTCTGTTAGTCTAGAATGGCAGCTCTACAGAAGGGAGACACTACTTACTATCTTTGTTCTCCTGCTGGACAGAAATGTTTTGGTGAAATCTACAGACAGGTTTGGCAAAGTAAAACTCATTTCAAATGTGTTTAACTGCATTGGTTTTGTTTGTTTGCCAAGACTGTAAATGAAAAGATACATTACAATGGTTCGCATTATAACTTTAGACTTTACCAGTAAACCTCTTTTTGTTATCAGGTCATGGAATTAACAATAAAAAATTCCTGTCCTTCCCCCCCCCAGTTTTTAATTACATTGTATTTTACATGTTCTTTGTTATATAGACTTTTCAATGGAAAAAAAGTTTGCTGTGTGGATTCTCACTTCTAAGCTTATTACTGTATCTTTATTGTTTCTAGCTACTAGATTTTAACTATAGAGATTGTCCTTTCAGTAGATTGCTTTGCTTATGGAGGTTATAAAATAATAATTAGAAATCAGTTTCTAGAGATGTAGCTTCCTTTTCCAAAAATAGACTTGCTTTTTGCAAGTTTGCTACTGTTAGAATGAGGGTATAATAAAGAACAGTATTAGGTGGCATTCATCACAGGGTGCCAGTTTAAAATGTGTGTCCAGCACTACTGTTGCACCAATTATCCCTGACCTTTTTTCCTAGCCTTGGGGTATGATATTATTAAGGAAGACTGATTCAGGAATATTTTCTGTATAATATTAGTTTAAGCAAATTTCTGCACGGAGCAAACTGTTCTGTTAGGGCTCTTTCTGTTAAGCTGGTAAATTTTTTGCCATAGAATTTAATTTTTTCAGAAATGTTGATAACTAGTGCCCTCTCATATATCCAAACCATTGCAACTGCAGTGATAATATGTGCCATTATTTCTGTGACCTTTCCCTTCTGGGAAAGCATAGCTGTAAGGAACATATGTGCAGGTTCTTTCTGCTTCAGAGTTCAGTGTAAAGTACATTTATCAAGTATTTCATGTGGTCTGTTTGTACAAGTTTTAGGTTATTTTTTAATCCATCAAAAATAAATCAGTACAGTGACATGCATAGTAGGCACAATTTAGGAACTTCTGAATTTGATGTTACTGAGAGTTGCTACACTGTCATTATTACTTCCATATTAGCAGTACACCTTGAGAGTAAAAGAGAAAACATGAACCTCCCCTGTTCAGCTTCGACATGTGATTTGAACCTTTTGTGCAAGGTGTTTGAAATGCTGCTACCACTTGTTTCACTTCTGTAAGACAAGAAGTAGTTGAGGCAATGGAATATTACTAATTTTGAATGATTTTGATAATGTTCAGGTAGTTTTCAGGCACTCCTTTAAAATATTAAAAAAAAAAAGGAAGGTTTGTGAATGTTTTACATCAAAGTTCATCAGAAATCTAATTAAAAGTTTATAGTTTTAGGAATTTTGTTTTCTGCTTGACAGCATAGCTATGTTTAAAATTCAAGGCTGACTTCTGTGTTTACTTTTGCACTGATTATACTGAAGGCATTTTTGAGAGTTAGACTTCTGGGTGCACAGTTCTTCTTTGCCTAAAACACATTGAAATAAAAAATCTTCAGTCAAAGCATTTCAGCTTTACTGAAAGAAACGTGATTCATTTTGTATGTGGCAGTTTTATAAATAAACTCATTTTTGACATGTTTACTTCTGTCTGAATTGATGAGAAGATGTATCAGTGTTAAAATCCAAAAATGTGATAGATGCACTTTTAACAGATCATGATTTGTACTCAACTAAAATGGTATTTGAGTAGCTGTGTTTGCTGTCTTTCAGCTGACCAGTGTGCCTTTGTCTTTAAGTCTTTGTTATGAAGTTAGAAATATCCATAATGGACTATAAAAATGCTAGTCTCAAGGTTAAAAAACCCAGTATGTATTTAAAATGTATTTGGTCATCTTTTGAAGCGTCTCATGGTAAAGAACTAATATTGCTGTTATGTTCAGCTGGCATTTCTTCATTTTTGTCAACTTACTTGGTGAAGCCGAGTGTTGAAAAGCATGTTTGCTTAGCTATATAAAGTCTTTTTGCTTACAGTCAGGAATTGTGGACTAATGAGAATTACATGTATGATCTAAGTGCTTTATAATTATCATAAGTATAATAGCAAGGGCTAAACAAGGATCACCAGTAATAATTTACTGATTTTGGCATCAAGGCATTGTTGTGAGATTTAAGTTTGCTTTTATTTCTAAATATAAATATGAGTCCTATAAAGAAAATCTATTTATAGTAGGATTCAAATTGAGTCTTAGCAAATTACCTTAGTGCACAGAGCTCCATGAACGATTTAAAAATAGGTATTTGTGGTGTGATCTGTTTTTACTGTGTATGCATTTTGGCTTATGCTTTTTGTAATGAAGGAGTAATATTAGATAATATATTATTCTGATGGCTTAGCATGAAAGCAACAGCTGCAGTATGCAGAGTTTTTACTTGACATTTCAGAGGAACTCTGCTCAGAAGCAGGATGAAGGATAAGTGAAAAAGGGAGAGAAAAAGGAGCTTTGACCTCCAGCTTGCTTAGACTGGATTGTCCAGGATTTTAGGTGGACAACACCTAAAATGTTTTCATCTGTGTTATTGTGGTAATTACCCTTCTCTGGAGCAAGCGTTGAAGATAGATTAGTTGTCTTGCAAACTGATTCTCTGATCTCAGTATCCATGAGATTGTACACATGTTGACACAGAGAATGTTTACCAAACTAGGCAGACACAGAGAAATGGTGTTGTGAGCTCTAGACCTTGTGCATGTTGCTTCTGCTTTGTCTAAGTTATTACTTGCCATGTTAGTTTTTTGTTGTTTTTTTTTTTTTTTCTGAGACAGGAATTTTACCTGAATGAATAAACATATGCCATGAAATGGGAATAGCATATACACATTCTGAAATAGGTCCTTGAAAAGATGGTGCTATGAAATTCTTACTAATTACAGCTGAGTTTGTCATTCATCTAAAGCATTTCATAACTTACACTGGCTAAGGGGAGTAATGGGCCCCTTGCATTTTTTATTTTTTTTTTTTTTATTCTGAAGACCTTCAAAAGGTGTTTCAATGTAGTATGAAAAGTATTCCCTGTAAGTTCTTCTGGAAAAGCATAACATAAAGTTTTATACTGAAAGTATCAGAACTTTTTCCAAGTTTTAGCATTTTAAAAAATCAACGCTGATGTTACTTGGCTCATAATTTGTCCTAAGATCCTGAAATATAAAGTTCTAATTTTTTGTCACTTAAGGCATAGTAGAGTGCCTGTTTCCCTTTGAAGTAAAACCACATTGCCCATGAATGATGATGAGAATTACATGGAAGTACTGATGATTATTCTGCAGCCTCATGACAGTTCTG